GCTCCAGTTACAGTAAGTTCCATCTCTCTCTCTCTCTCTCTCCTTGTTCCTTCCATGTGCACGTTAGCAGTGACCGTGTCCTTTTACTAAAACGCCGCATTGCCGGTTCATGGTAGTACAGGCCTTCATCTTTCTAAGCATATGTTCACGTGCATGATAGTCAAGTTTACATACCTTTGCTAAAATACGCATGTGCAATATGAGCCGTTAGATTTGGTGTGTGGGGGCATATGTAGGGTTTATCGAACGGTGTAGGACCCACGATAATGAAATGTAGGATGTCTCATTGACGGTACTGTCAATGAGTTTGGAAGCAGGACTTTGTGGGTTTGGATGGTACGCCCGTAAAAAATGGTGACAACATCTTTGATAATGTAGAAAGTAGAAGTAATAATGTAGAAAACGCATAATACGCCAAGAGACGGCATGTCATGTGCTGCTTTCTTAAGAAAAACAGATTCCTTTGCCAATTTGGACCGACTCAACTGTTACGTTTAACTCCACATCCTTAGAGATTTCGGTGAAATTTCTAACCTGGGGTTTCTGTGATAATCGTTTGCTTCAAACGTGGAGCAGTTTGTTCTCATCTCTCATTTTTTCCTTTTTTAGAATTTGTCAATTTGGGTTGTAGTTTAAGAATGTGATTCCTTTTTGGGTATTTTCTGACCAAGAAAACAAAACTTAAGACAGACTTTGGCCCCTCATCAAATGGACCCGACGTTCGAGGCTCCATCCGAATTCTCAAAGGATAGACTTTGGTTCCTCCCCACTTTGAAGCGATGGCATTAACTTTCGGTTCCTTTTTTATTTCCCCTCATAATACATGAGAGCAGTGCTATCACTGTGCGTGTTTCCAGGGCTTGCTTTCCAAGCAGGACGTTGATTCGCAGGCTTTCTAATGATTTCAATATCCTTTTTCGCCATAAAAATATACGTAGCTTAAATATTGCTTAATTGCATATATGAAGTTTTGAATGCAAAAATATGACCCAATTATGGTGACATTCACTAGCTATATAAATATATTTATTCGACGTAATTAATTATATAACCGTGTACCAGCTTCACTAGCTAGAATGCATGGATGAGTTTTACTTCGTCTCTTACAATTTTGTTTTGTGAAAGCAGGAAGATCAGGCTCATCATCACCTTGCCATTTACCTCTTGAAGCCCGTCTTAAAATAGCAAGGGGAGTAGCCCGGGGACTGGCCTACATTCACGAAAAGAAACAAGTGCATGGCAACATCAAACCAAGCAACATCCTGTTAAACTCCAACATGGAGCCTTTAATAAGTGACCTGGGACTAGACCGCCTTGTTTCAGGCAATGCCAGCTACAAAGCAAACAATTTATCGGCCAGGTTTTTAAGCAGCCAACGGTCCACAGCTTCTCGCGATGGCCCACCCGACCCCCCAACCAGTCCAAGCCCCCATGCACCTGCCACCGCCAGCTCCTCCACGGGAACACCAATGCCATATCAAGCACCAGAGTCATTAAAGAACCTCAAACCAAACCCCAAATGGGATGTCTACTCATTCGGCATAATTTTGCTTGAGCTTCTCAGCGGGAGAGTGTTCTCAACCCGGGAGTTGGGTCCGTGGGCGGTGCCAGGCGGTTCAGTAGAGGAAGAGAAGAACCGGGCTGTTCGGTTGGCTGACGTGGCGATCAGGGGTGACGTGGAAAGCAGGGAAGAAGCCATGCTGGCTTGTTTTAGATTAGGGTTTAGTTGTTCATCATTTGTGCCACAAAGGAGACCGTCCATGAAAGAAGCAGTCCAAATCCTTGAGAAGCTCCCTTCAGCTTCTTCTTCCACATGCTAATGATGCATTTGGGTCCTACGAAGAAAATGTTCCTTGTTCTTGTTGGGGTAGCGCTAAAGTGATTTTCTTTTTCCTTTTCATCAAAATCCTTTGTTGACTTGAATGCTTTGCCTAAAGAGCCCGAGAGATTGTTGATAGCCGAATGTAAGAAAAAAGTGTTTAGTTTGTTTGACCCATTAATCAGATGTCCAGCACTCACTGTTTATTTATTACTACTATATAATTTATAATCTGATATTAAATGGATTTGGTTATCTTTTGGTGGATCATGTTGGATTGGTTGGTTCTCATAATTATCTCATGCTAGTTGTAGACTAATCATTCAAAACTTTGCTTGGTCTAGATGGCGTCTATTCCCACAAGATAATTTGAAATTAATCCATGCTCAAAACTCAAAATTCTACACTTTGGGTATGTCAAAACTCTTAATAATTTCAAACCAACTTATTATTTAATAAGCAAAAATCATCCACCAAATTGAAAAGTACATAATATTCTAAGCATACTATTACTATTTAGATGATGTGAAGGACACATTGCTTTGACATTAGCCTCCCTTGATTCACAAGCCTTTAACTTGATATATAATTCCAAAGTAATGGAATCGGGCCCCAAGACTCATTCATTAGTTTACCGGTACAATATTTCAACAAGAAATTATGATCTGGAAGACGTTTGCCTTCACAGCATCTCTTTATTCCTCGCTGCAGTCGGTGTCTCATGGTTGAGTTGAAGTATTAAATGTTCGCAATGGTTCTAGTTACACATTTATCCAAATCTTCTTTTCTTTTTTGGTTAATAGAATTTGACATTACCTTTCGCACCCTAATTTTCCCTACTCAACTGCATTACCATACTAAGCTTAAAGAACAAAGACTCGATTTTTCGCTTCCATTAATTAGGCTGCATCATTTCTCGTTTCCTTCATGTACCCAACCCATGGAACATGATTTTTGTTTATAGCTAAAGGCTTTGCGGTTGGTTTTTTCAGTGCCCACTACCTTCGTTGTCCAATTGCACTAATGAAAACAAAACATAAAAAAAAAATCCATTTGTTTTCCTTACTATTCACTACAAAATTTGTCTCTGTTTCCCTATTCCTACTAACTATTAATTATTATCATGTCTTTTTCAGAAATTTGGCACAGTGATAAGTGAATTAATTAATTCTTCAGATAGAATCCAAAACGTGCATCATGTAGAAGCAACCAAAAGACATCTTCACTTGAAGCAAGACAATATTTTGTCTTAGCTTTCAATAAAAGGATAATAGAATGTGATATCTTCTTTGTTTTATTTTGTATAAAAATTCTTACTCCCTATCCGCTACTTAATTTGGGCCGGGTTGCCCAATAGATCGAATTGGACAGAACTAAACCCAAAGCCAAAATCCATCGACAGTTCATAATTAAAAGAAAAAAGAAAAAGGCTTCCCACAGGCCCCACTTGGAAACATCTTTTAAATTACGCAGACAGCAAATTCCAGCACATCGCCATTGTCCTTCGAATCCTAAATCATATCAAGTCTTGTAAGTTGTAACAGCTAACGAAACAAAGTCGAATTCCAGAAATCATGGAGACAGACATCCCTATTCTGGAACAGGATCAATCCTCACCAACTCCCAAACACATCTTCATCCTCTCAGGCCAAAGCAACATGGCTGGCCGAGGCGGCGTCTCCAAGCACCATCACTGGGACGGGATCGTTCCACCGGATTGCCAACCGCACCCTTCCATCATCCGCCTCAGCGCCAAGCTCAACTGGGAGGAGGCGCATGAGCCTCTCCACTGCGACATCGACACCCGCAAGGTCTGCGGAGTGGGGCCCGGAATGTCGTTCGCCAATGCGGTGAGGGAGCAGCTGGGTAGCGAGTGCGTGGGGCTGGTACCGTGCGCCGTGGGTGGAACCGCCATCAAGGAATGGGCGCGTGGGCAGCACTTGTATGAGAGTATGGTGAAGAGAACTAAAGAGAGTGTGAAGAGTAAAGGGGAAATCAAGGCTTTGCTTTGGTACCAAGGGGAGACCGATACGTCGTCGCATCACGATGCTACAGCCTATAAGGCAAATATGGAGACGTTGATTCATAATGTGCGCCAGGATCTGGGATTGCCTTCGCTTCCAGTCATTCAGGTAGCATTATATACTTAGTTGTCTACTTCTCAAAGATAATGTTCTAAAATCTAAGTTCCTTACATTGATAATTGATGTCATCTTCCACAAAAATAGTTGATTTAGATTACTGCTAATATTTATGGACAAAATAAAAGAAAAGTAGAATAAAAATATTATTATATAATTAGATTGACGGAATAGAATAATAGAAATTATTTTTATGAATTTATTGTAATATTTGATTAATAAAAATAATTTTGTATAAATGGTAATAAAAAGTTAAAAATATTTTATTATAATATATAATTTTTTATTTTTATTTTATTTTTAAATATTATTATGATTAAAATATTAATATTTTCAATAATTTCCAACTTTAAAATATTAAATTTGTATAATATATTATTAAAAATTAAACTTTTTATTATAATAAGATTTATTTTTAAAAAATAAAAATATCTTTTTACATAATTTAGTAAAATTTATATGAAAAGATAAAAATAAATAAAATTTTTTTAATCATTTAATTTTTATTTTCATTAACATTTTAATAATTTAATAATTTATTAATAAAACATTGGTATAAATTTTTATTTTTCTCTATTTGCATTTTTCATTTTTAATTTATATTTTCATTAAAATTTAAAATATTAATTATTTAATCAGTTAAACATTAATATTTTATTTATAATTTAAAAATTATTATAATTAAAATATTAATAATTTTTAAATTAAAGATATTAAATTTTTATAATTTATAAATAAAATTTTAAATGTTTTTATTTTAAATTCATTTTGTTCCTTTTCCTTTGTTCTTCTTTGTTGGCTGACCGCTGGAAATGTGGCTGGCATAATACGCAAACAACAAGGTGTAATTGTATTGATCATATTGCATAACAATAAATTGATAATTTTGCAGGTTGCAATTGCATCAGGGGATGCGAGGTACATCAAGACAGTGAGAGAAGCACAACTAGGGATCAATCTCCCAAATGTAATATGTGTGGATGCCAAAGGGTTGCCTCTCAAAGAGGACCACCTTCACTTAACCACTGAGGCCCAGGTTAAGTTGGGGCACATGCTGGCTGATGCTTTTCTTACCCATTTTATTGCCCCCTCACAGTCATCTTCCCTCGCTTGACTCCCAAGGGAGGGCTAAAATCTAAAGCATCTAATAATCCGAAGGCTTCATTAAGTTGTTGGTTCCATTTTGCATCTTCGATGTTGACCTTGTAGCCTCTTTATGGGCCTAGCTGATGATGTTATTGATTGTTAGTCATATGTGCCTTTCCTGAGGGCCCAAATCATGAATCTGACCAAATATTGGTCATAAATAAATGTAGCAAATTCCACTTGCAATGCTGTGGTTTGTGCCTTATGGACAATAAGTCATGCAATTGGGAATTTGGTAACCCATTGTTTTTGAAATGAGCTTGCACTTAACTCTCGTTTGCGAAACTAGGATCTAAACTTAAACCAAGTGCAAAAAGAATCAGTTGAAAGATAAAAAGATGAATCAAATACCACGGGTCTGGACGTGGCTTGCTCCTGTTGCATGATTTGAACTCACAAACTTCACACACAAATTTCTTTACTTTGCTGAGGAAGAGTTATTCGAACTCATAATTTTTATATAATTATCTTAACAAAAAGAAAAATAAAAAAAATCCACTACATTGATAATGATTATTCTCATATACCCAAACAGTGAAAGTTCTCCAAAGCTTTCTATTCCCCTTCTTTTTTTTTTTTCTTAATTTTTGGTCCGTCCATTTTCTTTCTCACATGATACTCAGAACTAAGCGGTTAATTTTGTCTTCATAAGACAGGGATTCTGCGCTGATTTTAGTGTATGCAGGAATCGGGATGCGGCCAGGACAATCTTTTCACATGTCCCGCCTAATGTCCTTTCCTTTTACTTTAATAAACTACAACTGTATGTCCTTTCTTTCAGTTATCTTTGAAGTCAATAAAAAATTATTTTCTCTCATTTTTAATGTTTTAAACTTATGTTTATTTTTTAATAATTAATACTTTAATTTATTTTTTCCATATTTATCTTTTGTAATTTTTTAATTTTGACAGTAATCAATATAGGACATCAATTTACAAAAATATATATACTAAAAATTAATATTTTTTCTTAAATTTTATGAAAGTAAAAAACAATGAAAAGTAATAATAAACATCACTTGTATTATATTATATAAAATCAGAAAAACTTAAATTATTTTTATTATCATACCAAAAACGATGCTAAAGAAAGAGAAACCAAATTCAATGCAAGGTATTATCGTTTTTATCATCCCAATGTTGTAAATCGTTCTTTCATAACCCAACTGCCCAAGAGAATTAAAAAAAACAAATCCAAATTGCCATTTACAACTTAATTAACAAGCATCTTAATGTTACAATAGTAACACAAAGGGCCATAATCAGTCCCGAGACAAGAACTTGTAATTAAATAGTGTAGTAGCAATTAACAATTGTAATAATTATAATAATAAATATAAAAAAAAAACAAAAACTCGACTGCTATGAGCCGTAATACGAATCCGAATCCATTTTTTTTAGGCTGTGGCATTATAAAAGCAAAACAGAATTTGTCAAGCCATTCTCCTGGTCTCACCAACCCCACGAACAGACCGGGTCCCATCGGATTGCGACTAAATTCCGCCATACTCAGATATAGCACAGCGTCATCAGCATATTCTAGCAAGTGACATTCAGCTTTCAAGTTTCACACTACACTCTCTACACGCGACTTTAAAGAGCGTGCTCAACCCATCTTTTTCTTCCACCTTCTTTGCTCCACCAACCCTTTAAACCCTAAAAACCCTTGTGGCCCAAATTTTACTCGTAGGTTCTGGATTAAGATTTATTACCTAATGAGCCATGTGCCAGCTTCTAAACCATAATAATTTACTTCAAAAATGTTGACCCAAAACTAGCTTAATTCTGCCAAAAGTTGTTAGGAATTTCGTTGGTGTGGATTAAGCCCAATGAATAATTTCTACTACCTTTAGACATATTAAGTAAATGTGAAAAGATACATTACATTTTGATTTGTTTTCACTTTTTATTGTTTTCAGATAGAGTACTCAAATTTTTTTTTTAAAAAATAAATTTTATTAAGATCTAATTAAATGAAAAAAACTAATCCTAGTGTATCATTTACGAGAAGAGATTTAATTTATACAGAAGAGACATCATAAAATCTGTACTCTTCATTTAAATCAAAACCTTTGTTTGTCAAATAGTCTACTACAGTATTCCTTTCTCTTAAAATATGTCATATTTTGATTTCCCATTAACGATGAAGTAGACCTTGAATAGCTTCAATCAAATCTGAGTTTTGAACATGGATGGCTTTTGGGGAAATAATGGCTTGCACCACTAGTTTACCATCCACTTAGAGTTCTATTTTCCAGTAACCCAACTGTCAAGCTAAATTGAGTCCTTTATAAGTACCCTACAACTCAACTCGGTATGCAGTGCACCTACCAAGGGTTGTCGAAAAACCACCAAACTAGTTGCCACAAGAATCTCAAAGTACTCTACCAACTGCTGCCTTGTGTAGTGATCTTTCAAAAGCACCATCTGTGTTTAAGGCAAGCCAACCATGAGGAGATGTTGTACAGCCAACCAAGATCTCTTCCGTCCTACTTTCTAGTGCTTCAATACCATTCCCAATCTTACCATAGCTTTTGACAATAACTGGAGCAAAACTTAGGATTGCATTTAATTTCCCCTGTATAACATGCTTTCCTTCAAAAATCCAAGCATTTCTCCATTTCCAAAAGTACTAGCAGCTCATTCCAAATATGATCACTCACGGGATCTCCCTTACGGTCATTTTACAACGTGACAAATTATGTGACAGCCAAGCGGTTAAGCTTGAGTTGAAGAAAAGGGCTTGATATTTCTGTGGCACAAGCTACAACCAGGAAGCACTAGATAGAGGACAGTCTCGCAACGTGTGCAGGATAGTTTCATCTTCCTGTCTACACTGCATGCAGCAAGAATTGCTTGATAAGTGATGCCTTACACGTTCCTTATTGGTCAATAAGCATTTTTGCATGCACTGGTACAAAAATGTGCAAATTCTTTGAAGCCCTTTCCAATGCTAGGCCATGTTCCATATGCTTTGTATTCTATCTTGAGTGGCCCTGTCTTCTTGTAATCAATTATAAGCTAATGAAATCGAGAATACCCCAGATGAGGAATGTGCCCAATATGGTTCATCAGTTCCATCGAAAAAAGGTAGTGGTAATGCCTTCAAAAGGAGCCTTTTCTCTTCATTTGGCAGCCATGCATTAAGGTCCTCAAAGTTCCAGCTTCCATTAAAAAGTATAAAATCACGAACCTTTCTATTGTCATCAATGAAATAGCCCATCGATCGAGCTACCTCAATTAAAAGTCTGTTAACAAACCAAATATCTGTCGAAAAAAGACTAGTACAACCATCTCTGATTGCTTATCTAATATTTTTTCTAAATGGTTGCCATAGTCTGCCTATCAAATTCCAAAGAGCAAAAGAGCCAGCTCAATTAATTCTATCTAGTATCAAGTTGGCTCTAATATTATATTTTCCCCGTAAAACTTTCACCCATAGTTCATCTGGCTTAGCTGCAATCTTCCAACAAATTTCATCAAGAATGCATCATTCATGTTCTATTCCCAAGCCACTTTCCTCTTTAGGTTTACAAACATCTTGCCACTTGAGTAGGTTGATTTTGCAATTGTTTGAATCACCTCTTTAAAAAAACCTCTTACAACATGCCTCAATTTTCTTGTAAATATTGATTGGTATCAAAACCGTCTGCATAACACAGTAGGGAATGGTAGACAAAACAGATTTAATTAGTGTAGGTATACCTACAAACGATAGAGTGGATGCCTTCCAAGCAAGCAAGGGGGAATGTACTTTGTCTTCCAAATAGCGAAAAGAGTTACTCCTCTTTCGACCATTTATTAATGGTACCCCCATATGCTTTTCAAAATCTTTCAAAAAAGAGAAGCCCGAACATTGCATTAAATTGTTAACTGTCTATCAAGACACATTTCCAAAATAATAAAATGATGATTTTTGAATACTCACCTTTTCTCCAAAACAAGCACAGAAATAAGCTAAAACTCCTTGTACTACCTTCATTTGTGATACTAAGGTTGCAGCAAATAGTATTAAATCAGCCACAAAAAACAGATGGGTTAAAAGGAGACCTCTCTTGCCTAATCTGATGGGTTTCCATGCACCTTGTTCTATTGCCTTGTTTATCTCATGTGCCAACCGTTCCATACACAATATAAAGATATATAGGGATAAAGAATCCCTTTGTCTTACTCCTCTGGAGGGTATGAATGTGTCCGAAAGGGTACCATCTCGTAGTATTTGTGTTTTACTACAACGTCAACAATTAAGAAGAATATTTATTAATGCCATAGGGATTTTAACGTCAATCAAAGTATCATATATAAATTTCCATGACCTAAGTTTTTAACTAATTCTATTATTTCATTTTAATAGTCAATATTATTTAAAAATAAAGAATAATTTTAATTCCATTTTTTAAGTGGTTAAGAGAAATCTTGGGTTTTGACTAAAATGACGAGAAAAGTCATTTCATTTTTTGGTTTCTAGGGATTAAGAAAAACAGTGTTCCACGCGAAAATGGTCAAGCCAGTGCCAAAGTTTTTGGACCAAAAGAAATTAATTCTAATTATTCCAGTAGTTGAGACTGCAAAAGACCCAAATAAAGAAAAAGAAAGAAAAGATTCAAGTAATACACAGTTATGTCAAACTGTTTCTTCTTTTGGGGAATACTACGCTAATATTTTCTGCTTTCTTTTTTTGATGAGCATAATACGAGATATACTTAGATACTTTCATCGAACTTTTTCTTAAAGTCAACAATGATTGTAATGCTGGAAAAAGGATGA